GACATGCATTTTCAGATGCACTTTTTACATATATGATACGTTTTTTCTGGCTTCACTGAAACAGGAACACAGCAATGTCCCTGCATTCAGCATCTGTATACCTGCCTCAGCAGGTTACAAATCCTCTATTAATTTTCAAGCTGGTTCATCTGTAAGGATAGAGTTAACTCCTAGCATAGTAAAGACTCTCTCAGGCTTTGCTTTATCAGTAGTCGTTGAATTTGGGGACAGTTGTAGCGACGCTGCTGGTTTTGGCATCAAGTGCATATGCAAGAAGACTAGAACAGACCTCTCGCCTAGACTAGAGAGAGTTTTCCAATTTTGGGCTCCAAAGGAAGCCCCCACTGTTCAGAAGGATCATATGTTTCTCTTTGGCTATGTCACGATGAACCCTGCGGAAGGAGATGACCATGATGTCCTGGCTGATTTAGTTACCTTTGAATTCCATCCTGTCAATGCAGAGAACCAGCATCTAGATGATAGTTGCACCATAAAGCGATGCGGAGTTTATTTAATTACTACGGCAACATGTGCTACATCAGTTAGTGCAAAACGTCCTGCTTCGTGGATGGATCCAGTGGAGCATATGGCAACACCATGTAAGAGATGTCGCTTCAAGAGTGTTGTTGAAAGTGTTATTTGGAGCTTAAGAAAAAGGAAACGAGAAACGAGTGTTATTGAAACTATTATTCGGAGGTTAAGAAAAAGGAAACGAGAAAGGAGTATTATTGAAACTGTTATTCGTAGGTTAAGAAAAAGGAAACGAGAAAGGAGTGTTATTGAAACTGTTATTCGGAGCTTAAGAAAAAGGATACGAGAAAAGAGTGTCTCCAGAGTCAACAACCGTTCTAAGGTAAAAAACATCTGACACTTTCATTGGCAAATACATCTAAGTGTAGGTAGGCTTTCGATGTCACTTTGAAGACAATCAAATTTGATTTAATGCTGATTTGTATTACATATTACTTCTGAGACTGGCCCTTCAATAACTGATGATTTTATGGATCGTAAGTGCATCAACGAAATATGAATGAGGATTTTAAGCTTCATTTTGCAGGTTCATCTTGGTCGAGTTTCTGCTTGCTTGGAAGATGATCAAAACTACAGAAATCTAGAGCAGAATGAGGGAAAAGAGTTAGGCTCTCACAAGTTTTTAAAGATTGAATCCGCTCATAGCCAGTCCAACTCATCTCTAACAGACTCGCCGACCTCTTTCCGTAAACCTACTCAGTCAGCAGCTCGGATGCATCAGTGTTTCAGGGCTCGATCTTCGGAGAAGAAGCGAACAATAGAGTTGGTACTTTCTCGTAAAACATGCAAACCAAGACTGTCTTATAGTGATGGTTCTGTTCTTGATTCTGCTGCTATCAGGATTCAGACCGATTTCCGCGGCTACAAGTGTAGAAAACAACATTTGATTGCTAAACAAGGAATCGTTTTAATACAGGTAAAACTGTTCGATAACAAATGAAATGTTCTTTGTTCGTTTTTTTCTTCCTCTGAAAACTCTAAAACTCTTAACTGGCAATTCGCAGGCTTGTTGGAGAGGCTATAAGGTAAGAAAAGCTTCCAGGATGATATTTTGTCAATGTGGATAGTAGAGTAAGTAAAATAGAAATATCATAAATGAGTCATTATTAATGACTAATAAGAGAGCATTTGGTAGAGAAGAGACCATTGATACAGAGCAAGGATCAAGAGTAAAGATTTTGTCACAACCAGAGGTGTAATCATTTGATGATTAATAACGAATCATCAGTATATAAATCATCATTTGTGTTAGTGACGTTGATGTGTGTTAATACAACACTTGCGTTCGTTTATAATCAGTACATTTTAGTTTTGGTTTTCACATTCATTATCGCTTTCATAAATCATAAATCAAAAAAATTCGCAAGTTTTCTAAGAACAAAATTGTGGTACATTCTTTTCGTCTTCTGCAATTTCTAATAAAACATTTGAAGAACTATTTGATTAATTCTAATGAAAGAAAAAAAAGAAAAATACATCTAATCAATGTTCAAGAAAACACTAAGCGTTAAGCGGAAAGTGACCCAATGTCTAATGTGTAGAACGTTTAAACGTAGTCTAGACGATTGAATAAAACGTCTTACAAAAATATAAAATATATTAGATATATATATAGCAAATATATAAAAACCATCATTTATAAATAATAAAATTTATATTGTATTTGTATTTATTATTTTATAGCAAAATATATAAATATTACGATTTATATATAATAAAATTTCTATTATTTTATTATTATTATATTTTAATATTTTAGGTGGCATAAACGATAATTTTCATATTTTATAGGAGTCTAAATGCCGCACAGACGAACGTATATAAAAATAACACGTTTTAGAACGCTGCTTGTAATATTTGTTTTTTTGTGTTTTTTCCGAAATCAGGTAGTTCCTTTTAATTTTACAGCACATACATTTATCATTTTTTTCGTCAATGACGTGGATAGCTAATCCACCGTCGATTTAACCTTCGCAGTTAAACACCGTACTGCTCACCACCATCACCTCTCGAACCATCTCCCTCGAGTCACGACGACCCAGAGGGCTTCCTCAGTCCTCCTCTCCGTTCTTGCTTCTCTCCAGATCCAACTCTCACCAAATTTTTCTTCACAAGAACCAAATTCGATTTCGATTCCAAAGATCTCTTCGATTCTTTTCCTCAGATCAAGTCAGTTTTTTGGTTCATGATTTTGATTTCGTGAGTCCTTAATGGATTCGCCTCCTTCCCTAATGGGAAGGGCCATTGGCAACACTAACCGATCGAGCTTAGATCCTGGTCG